ATGAGAGCCATACTCCATACATGGGCGGATAAGGCCCCTGTACAGAGTAAGCAGCTGAGAGGGAGAGAAAAATGGACGCAGACGCCATAGGACACCTAACTTCTTGGAAGCTGATTTAGCAAGAGTAGAGATATGAAATTGCCAGTTTAGATTTTTAGTAAAGGATAGACCGAGTGTGTTTAATGTGGAGGAGAGGGGAAGTTGAGTGTCGTTGAGTTATCTGGAAGGTTATTTCCAGTAGATAGTTGTAGAAATTGTGTTTTTGAGGCATTGAACAAAACAAGGTTTGCTCTGCCCCAATCAGAAACTAGTGAAAGATCAGAAGATAAGCGTCCTATAGCATCTCGCCTTGAATCATTTAATTCTTGTTGGGTTGGGCGTCGGTTGTACGACGTTGAAAAATGCAAGGTGGTGTCATCAGCATAGGAGTGGATAGGGCATTGAGTCAGATTTAGGAGATCATTGATGAATAATAGAAAGAAAGTGGGTGATAGGACAGAACCCTGAGGAACACCACTGTTGATAGTTTTAGGAGAACAGTGACCGTCCACTACAGCAGCAATAGACCGGTCGGAAAGGAAACTGGAGATGAAGGTACAGAGAGAAGGATAGAATCCGTAGGAGGGTAGTTTAGAAATTAAAGATTTATGCCAGACTCTATCGAAGGCTTTCGATATGTCAAGGCCGACAGCAAAGGTTTCACCGAAGTCCCTAAAAGAGGATGACCAAGATTCAGTTAGGAAAGCAAGAAGATCACCAGTAGATCGGCCTTTACGGAAACCATACTGGCAATCAGAGAGAAGGTTGTGAGCTGATAGATGCCTCATTATCTTCTTGTTAAGGACAGACTCAAAGGCTTTAGAAAGGCAGGAAATCAAAACTATAGGGCGGTAGTTAGAAGGATTGGAGCGGTCACCCTTTTTAGGAACAGGTTGAATGTGAGCAAACTTCCAGCAAGAAGGATAGGTAGAAGTAGAGAGACACAGACGAAAGAGTTTGTGAGCGAGTTCGGAAGCACAGTTTTTGAGA